CGGTGGGGGTCGGTGACACGGTGGGCAAGTGACGTAACCGGTGTTTTAGCTTAATACTGGTATCACCGTCAGCACCGTCTATCGCGGCAAGCCTACTGTGCTGTCAAGTTAGCAATGCTGGAACTGATGTTTTATGTGTGTGTGTGTGTGCGCGCACGCCGGCGCGATCACTTCAACTGTTTCCTTATTCCAGCAGAATCAACTTTAAACACTTATTGTCTTAATAATGCATAACTGTATAAAAGGTCTGCTTTTATTTGTGTACACTCACAATGAAAACAAAACATTGTGCTTTTGTAAAATAAAGAAAACAAATAGGATGTTGCTTTCTGCCATCTGAGTTTCCTTTCTGTAAACAAATAAAGCCATTCACAAAAATGAACTGAAACTCAGCGTATATAGGCTACGTTACGTGTCGCACTGTTCTTTTTCCCCTTGCTTATCTGTAAACTAAATCAAATATATTTCAAGAATTTATTCCTTGTATGTATATGTGTACTGCAGATTATATATATTTAATATAATGTAATGATATTTAGTATTTTCACAACTAGGTAGATTTTTTTTTAAAGTTTGTACTACTGTCGGTTCAAAATAAATGAAAAGAAACCGAGCATAGTAGATTAGTTTTTTCCCCCCCATTGTACCGAAATCGTATCAAACCGGGACCCCCGAACCGAGGTATGTACCGAACCGTGACATCTGGGTACCGTTCCACCCCTAATAACAAGCAATAGGATACAATCTAGTCCAAACCATTCTTTAATTCAAGCTTAATTCAAAACTGGTTAATGTTCGCAATGAGAGAGTGAACTGCAGTGGTGTGCCTCAAGTGTCTTAAAGTGTCTCACTTTTATTGAGGCTCCAGCGTAGTGTGCCAGCTCTTTAATGTGTTGCCCTTTTTTCCCGATGAGAGCTCCTACTGCTGGAGTGGGGATGAAGAGGTACACCACTTCCTGTTCAGCAGTCTGAAACACACACAGACAGCCTTGACTCCTGCTAGTCAAGTTCAGACAGACAGCCTTGACTCCTGCTAGTCAAGTTCAGACAGACAGACAGACAGATAGACAGATAGACAGATAGATAGATAGATAGATAGATAGATAGAGTGCTTTTTACAATACAGATTGCTTCAGCAACTTTACAGTACACCATGATCTTCACAAAATTTGATACAGATTCTGTTTCAACAATAAAGCGGCTGCAACATTTTCCCGGTAAATTAAATGATAAAATCCTGTATTGTTTATTTTTAAATTATGATACCTAATGCATTAACTAAGATTGACAGTGACACACTGAATCTTTGAATCAAAGTTAATTTATAATTCGTAACTTTTTCCATTTTAAAGTTCATTATTTGCATATAATGAAATATATATAAATTAAAGGGTCATGAACGGTCAAGGGGGCACTGCAGTTTTTAAAATATTATTTAATAATGTTTCCTGAGGTGCATCTATAATCTTAGTATATTTTTCATCAAGAATTTGTATTTATGGTAATTTTCTGCCCTGGATAGATGGGTAGGAAAGAATAAGTCATAAGAATAGTTCATATTTTAAAGTGGGGAGTTTTATGCTTTAAACCTTGCATTTAAAACTTATGTTTTTTTGTTGTTGTTAAACAACCTCTTATATGTCTAAATTAAAAAAAACATTTTGATTCTCCATTTCTTCTCTTTATTAATATCATTCAATGATTCTGGCAATACGCCATGTGTCAACAGGTTTATGCGAAATACATGCAGAAAAATATCATGTATTATTAAAAACCACATTTACAACATTTATATGATTTTTTAACATTTCAGTTTTATTCTACATGACTAATTTCAAATTCGAATTATTGTTCTGCATCTGTTTGATACCACAATTCAAAATCATGAACTTTATTATCATTTAAAAGACATTTTTAATATCCTGAAGTTCTGAAAGGCTCAGAACTCTGCAACCTAAAAAAGGGGCAGATGAATGTGCTACAAAATTATTTATAATACATGTAACTGAAAAGGTTCTTATGAGCTTAAGATTGTCATGACATAACAGTAGTGTTCAGATTTATGGAAAATTATTATGAGAGATGTATACTGACATACACATATAATAACAAGTACTCACTGCTTGCTGAAGAGATAATGCTCCAGAGGAGGGAACCCCATACAGACCACCCAATACTGATGGGGGGCCCTGCAGTGGCAAACATACACATGGAGGATGTGGTGAGACTAATGTAACCCAACATTTTAAAGCAAACAGATGGCTATTTAAGAGATAAAACGCACTAAGATGAAAGGACAACTATCTATCACACTCCCTTTACAGATCACACATTCTTTTCTCAAATCATTGACAGCTTAAAGGGGTCATATGATGCGATTTCAATTTTTCCTTTCTCTTTGAAGTGTTACAAGCTCTTGGTGCATAAAGAAGGTCTGTACAGCTGCAAAGACTAAAGTCTCAAATCCAAAGAGATATTCTTTATAAACGTTAAGAGTCAGCCACGCCTACCTAAAACGGCTCGTTCTAACACGCCCCCACATGTCTACGTCACTATCTGGGAACATTTGCATAACAACCGCCCAAATGTTCACACAAAGAAAGAAGGCGTAACTTTTATTCTCGCTGTAGTATTGTTGTTACCGCCGCCACCATGTAGTGAAGGCACTGTGTGCTTCGTTGTGAAAGCGAAACTACTTTGTTTGGCCTTCCAAAAGAGGACAATATCACTTCGTCATGCCTGGAGCTGATCCGTGCTGGTCGCTGAGGAAATACTTCAACTTCGCGCTGTCGATCGCTGGATCGGCTTTCACCGTGGACGAAGCAGAGTCCAGCCCGGGGTCGTCACATGTGGTTGCCGCAGGCATCACAATATGGTAAGGGATGTAACATTTCCGTCACACACTTGAGGAATTCGGCCAATCACAACACACTGGATAGCTGGCCAATCAGAGCACACCTCGCTTTTCAGACCAACGAGCTTTGTAAAAATCGACACGTTTCAGAAAGGCGGGGCATAGAGGAGAAACAATGTACAGTATGTGTTATTTGAACCTTAAACCGCATAAACATTTCAACACCAAATACACGAAATAATGTTCTTTTTAGCAGCATCATATGACCCCTTTAAAGTCCTGATATACACATGCACATCCTGATGCTCACCAGCAGGGGGCTGTAGTTGGCTGGGGCGGACAGAGATCCATGCAGACCAGAGGCTGGAGGGAGAACAGACAAGCCAGAGGAGAAGATCCCCAACGCGCTCAGGTTTAGACCTGGCATCATGTTAGTCTGCTGCTGAAACCAGAGATGGAGAAGGATGTGAATCTGAGAGTACAAGTGAGACTTTATGCAAAGCGTGGAATGAACCAGTCTTGTTCAATTTCACAGGTTTATGTTAGTCAAACAGTTACTGAATAAGCAAATTAAATGGATTAAACGAATGCAGTTCTACTGAGTTAATGCCAATTCACATCCACACTCTGCCTGATAATCACTGTCTGTCCAAGCAAAACAAGTTCTGCTTTACTAAGATTAAAGAAACAGGATTAAAGCCACTGTTAAACCCAAACACTGTGTGAGAACAGTTAAAGGATATGTTTGGTGTTTGTCAGTCCATATTACATTGTTCTCTGCAATATTCAGATTCAGATCAATTGTGAGTATATAAGTCTACTGATGGACAATTCTATATTTACATTGACTGCTTTATCTACATGTCACAGTATCATGACGCGAGCATGCAGCGGCGCTGACCCACACGCTCGCGTCATGATACTGTCGTGAACGCACGTCCACAAGTGTGGAAAACACTCACTTGTACTTTTCTGGACCTTGAACGTGGTAGTTACCCTTGCTGTCTATGGGAGGGTCAGAGAGCCCTCAGATTTAATCAAAAATATCTTAAATTGTGTTCCGAAGATGAACGAAGGTCTTGCGGGTTTGGAACAACACGAGGGTGAGTAATTAATGACAGAATTTTCATTTTTGGGTGAACTAACCGTTTAAAACTGGCTCCTGATTTACCAAAGTTTTAGAATGTGTCACAATACACAAACGAAAGGGGACTCTTTGGGTGGTTGTTTGACTACATTCGATTGCAGGAGAAGTTTGGAGGATAAAAAAGGTATTTTTCTACAACCAATGAACTTTTATAATTACACATTTTTAAAATAAAATACCCAATCCTTCTAAAAATACAGGTTTAAAGTTCTATAAACACAGGCTTTTACTTTTGACAGCAACTCCCACATAACTGCACAGAGATCAGTTAAGGTCAGGTCAGTTTCAAAAGATCAAAACATGCAAACAGTTTGGAGCACATGTCCTTGTACATTCATAATTCTCCACTTTTTATCTTTAAATAGGGCTGTCAATAGATAAAATAATTAATGGTGATGCAAATTTTGAAGTGATATTTCAGCTTTCAGCTTTAATAATGATAAATTCTTCTGTTAAAAGTCCCATCTGGATTCAATTTGCAAGTAAAGGTTAAAGGCTTCCTTCATCATTTACAAACAAACAAGAGTATTGTTGTAGGATTAGTGTGTTTAAGAAGATAAAATAATACTGGCCCTATATAATTTATTATACGACACTTTTCACAACCCCTGATGTTTCAAAGTGACTTCACATAAAACTGTTCCTATCTCTATAAACAAACTACCATCCATCCACCAATAAACCTCAAAAGCTATGATTTACTCACATTAAGTGAAGACACATCATTCTCATGGGCTTCTCTAAGTTTCTTCATGATCTCCACTTCTGCATTACAGCACTCCTCCACCACTCCCCTCACCGTGATGGTACGTTCCTGGTTATATATAGTTAGGTCTTGTAATCTACAAAAAAAAATTTTTTTAAAAATGAAGAAAATAAGCATTGTCACTTCAGATGAACAATCAATACATACACAATAGGGCTGTGCGATATGCGATAATTAAATAATGCGATATTCAATATGCGATACGATAATGTGCCACATGCTCAGATGAAACAGTTTTACTCAGCTGTTGCGGAGTCAGTTCAGTGAACTTCTATAACTATCTTGTGTCATATATATATGGTTATTTGTATGTATGTATGTATTAAGAGCTCCTGTAAAACCACAAATTCCTTGTGTTTGCGCACACTTAAGTGGTGAATAAAGCTCATTCTGATTCTAATATAACTAGCATACATGTTCCACTTTTTGTGAGAAGAAAGCACCCCTACAACAACTTCTGAAAGTGAACAGTAGTGTTTTACTCTAGCATTACATAAAAATGTCATTTTAACATTTAACATTTACTCTATGAATTCAATTTGCACTGATTCTTACTTAAGCTACAAAAGTTATTTAGGTAAGAGCAGTGAGTGATTTTCTCTTTGTCTTTTGTTCATGGCCCCAAATATTGCAAGCTGTAGCGATACGCATATTGCGATATGTACATTTGCGATATTTCAATAATTTCGATATATTGTACAGCCCTAATACACAATTATACCACCGTTTCATCACTGGGTCCTATCCTATGAGACATTGTTTAATCTTTAATTGATCTCATCAGTTCAAGATGATCAATACAGAGCAAACTTACGAAGAAATAGTGATCTTGGTCCCAGTATCTTGCTCTATCTTCTTCAGGTTCCTGCCCTCCTTCCCTATGAGTCTCCCAACAAGGCTATTGTGGGCCAAGATCTTCAGAGGAACCTCTTCAACACTGATTCAGAGACAGAGCACACAATATTATTTTCATTTTTTATTTCTTTTTTATAATAGATCTGAGAACAACATGAGGTTATTTGCTTATTTACACAGTTTTAAATTATTTGTCTTAAAAGAATCAATCCTAAAGCAAATGAAGCATGTAAAACTTTAATGTGCCCTACAATCTGAAGGGATACTGACATCTTGGTGTCATTGGCCTCTTTTTCCATTATTTCCAGGATCATCCTGCAGGCTTGTGAACAGCCCTCTTTAGATGAGTGGATAGTGATGGCCTTCTCAGTTGCTCCTGCATTCTCCTTACGATGGATATCTACCCTGAGACAGAGCAAAGGATGACCTTTATCACATTTTTTAATTTAACTGTCACGTGGATAGAGCAAAATGGATATTGAGAATAGGTTATGATCTCAGAATGACTATGCAATGTTAGTGATTAGAGGTGCTCAATATATTGTAAGCCAATATATTATTTAGCTTCATTGCCAAAAACTAAAACAAAAAAAAAGTATATTTTGCAATTTGAAAAAAAATTTCTTTAATAAAATAAATGAAATAAGTATACCTGATATATATATATATATATATCATTTGTATTTCTAAAATGTACTAAAATAACTAAAACACATAAAATTTAAAGGGGTCATATGATGCGATTCAAATTTAAAACCTTGGCTTTTTGACGCGATCGACCCGCGTTCGATCCCGCCATTTGCCAAACTTTTTTTTTCTCCCTTTTCAAATCTCGTATCGCATCGTAAAGGCATTTATTTTCAAGAAAAATTAAGGAAATAATCAAAAAGTTGAAAATAAAGTATCGGGTAGGGTTAGGGTAGGTGTAGGGAGGGCTTTATTGTACCAATATGGTGGCATCCATTTAATAATTAAAATTAAAATGATAATTTACACTAAATATGTTATTATTGCATACTGTTTTATAATGTACATTGAGAATAGGTTATGATCTCAGAAATAAGAATGACTATGCAATGTTAGTGACTAGAGGTGCTCAATATATTGTAAGCCAATATATTATTTAGTTTCATTGCCAAAAACTAAAACAATAAAAAAGTATATTTTGCAATTTGAAAAAAAATTTCTTTAATAAAATAAATGAAATAAGTATACCTGATATATATATATATATATCATTTGTATTTCTAAAATGTACTAAAATAACTAAAACACATAAAATTTAAAGGGGTCATATGATGCGATTCAAATTTAAAACCTTGGCTTTTTGACGCGATCGACCCGCGTTCGATCCCGCCATTTGCCAAACTTTTTTTTTCTCCCTTTTCAAATCTCGTATCGCATCGTAAAGGCATTTATTTTCAAGAAAAATTAAGGAAATAATCAAAAAGTTGAAAATAAAGTATCGGGTAGGGTTAGGGTAGGTGTAGGGAGGGCTTTATTGTACCAATATGGTGGCATCCATTTAATAATTAAAATTAAAATGATAATTTACACTAAATATGTTATTATTGCATACTGTTTTATAATGTACCACAATACTGAAGTGCAGATAATTGCCACTATTTGCAACAAGTAGTATACTTGATAGTAGAAATCCTGCTATTTTAACATAGTGTAACTAGGTATTTTCACGTAGTGTAAATAGAATCCATTGCTAATACGAGATTTGAAAAGGGAGGGGAAAAAAAAGTTTCGCAAAAGGCGGGATCGAACCCAGGTCGATCGCGTCAAAAAGCCAAGGTCACGCACCTATCCATCTGCGCCACTGGAGTTGATGATTTACAACTTTTAACTAAATGTGAATAGACACCCCGTATTTTTTATTCCATAGTAAGGGCAATTCATACAATA